GCGGCAGTTTGGGTTGTCGGACATTCCGCGCACTGGGTCCGGAAATGTCCGGCGAGACGGATCCGTGCGCGGAATATTCACTGACAGCCTGGGCATGTTCGAATGGATGGATGTTGGCACTGCGGGTCAGGTGCGCCTGAGACTTGCGAACTTTTTTGGCTTTGGCAGTGGCGACCGGGCTGGCTTCATAGACGGCTGCACATGTCTTCACTGTCCTTCTCCAGGTCGGTCGGTCCTGTGCGAGGTTCCCCCAGGCCCTCGAGTGGATTTGTTGTCGTTTCAAGGAATTCTCCAAAGTGTCCTTGAAGCGACGGGTTTGACCTTCTTGTCAGCGAGCACCCTTGCCAACATCTCCGTAGAAGAGTTGTTTTGACAGGTGCTCGTTGTCCATCCTTTCGGGATGGCTGCTCAATCGTAGTTGCAGTTGACTCAGCATGACGTTGATGCTGAGGATTCCGGTCTACTCCAAAAACTCCGTGTCCGGGATCATGTCCTATCACCTTAGTGTTAGTATCCACAGGAGACAACTGAAGTGGAAGTTATTGAATTCCAGTGCTTATTTCTTGTAGACTATCCAGGTCTCCGCACTATACGGCAGTGTCGTCAATATGGCAGAATTGTGCATCTTGGGTTTAGTGTTGAGGCGGAGACCGTGGCGACTCCATACTACGTCCAACAGCCGACCGAAGGTCCGGCTGGCTTTAAAGATCCGATGGGCCACTTCGTCGTCGATGTGGATGCAGCGTGAGAGTGTGTTACCTAAGTAGGCGAAGTTGTCCGTGGCTTGCATGTGGTGTCGCTGACGTGGATGCGAGGAACACTATATATGTAAAGTGTTGAACAATCGCTGATGCGTGACGACCGTCTTGTACGTGTTGATGGTCAATCAGAAGTTAGCGCAACCAGAGGCGAATTGGTCCATGCTCCGTTTAATGTCTGCTTCTGTCGCGGGGTGTTGAGTAGGCATTCGTCCGCGAAGAAGAGATTGTGGAGAGTGGTCGTAGATAGTCGTGTTGTGTATTTCATTTGCCACCTTTTAAGAATATGTCCACCGATCCTGGTGTGAATGCGGATCCCAGAGCGTGCATCACAGAAAACATCCATCAGCAGGGCAGGAAACATGAGGCTTAAAATGATGGAAGCCAGTACGCAGCCATACTCCACTCAGGTGGTTGCTGAAAATGCTTCTGAGACGGTCCCACTATCCGTGACGCGCGTCATCGTCCCGCCGTGGACCTTGCGCAGCATGTGCGTGAATCATTCAGAAAATTCGAAGGTGTGCATGATTTTCCAGAGTCCATCGCGATTCACCATGTCGAAGGGCTTCCTCAAGTCTCTGAATGTGGTGCAGATATGGGTTCGCATTTCCCGACAGTTCTCTTGCAGCTGGTGGGTGGCGAAGGTTATGTCAGTGGTTTTTGCAATGTCCTGGCTTTCCGGCAGAACGCCCTGTTCGAGATGGCCGTGGAGATTGGTGAGGAGGATGCGAGCGAAACCTTCCTGACAATGCTGAGCAGCGAGATTCCTCTGTGGTTATCCCAACGTTGTCGGTTCCTTTATCGATTATAGAGATGGGCGACTGTCGTGTTAGAAAAAGTAGATGCGATCACTGTAACAAGACGTTTATTGGCCTGACGTCTCGGATGCTCATCGCAGATAAGGTTGGTGGAGGAACAAGGACGTCTACAGTGCTCAAGTGGATAGCATTTCGCAGGTGACACCACTGAGTCCCCACGATGGCGTTGTCGTCGGTGGACGGCAGTTCTTCCAGGTGCGGGACTCATTGACTGCTGAAATGCAAGCGGTGAGCAGGCACGTTTAGCAGAACGGTGGTTAACTAACCTGGTGGTCATTTACCTTGTGACCTTCTGAGGGGTTGCAGATGCAATCGCATCTTGGAGACGGCGAGGCGGTGATCCGTCCAGCCATCGGTGTCGCAGATCGCCTTGGTCACCAGCACGTCCTATCGATTTCGGTTCCGGATGAGAACGTAATCCATCAGCTGACAGCGTCGCAAGCGTTGGTGCATCTAGGTCGCCAGAAGATGTTGGTGAGGAGGAGGCGTTGTTCTGCACAGGTTATTGCTACAGCCACCGATACCCTGGAGACCTAGAACGTCCCCCTAGGCAGCGTGACCTGTCCCGACGGGAGAGTTGGATTCGTCAAGGACGACCAGATTGTCCGCCCTTGGCACAGCCGCCAGGGGTACGTGCACGTCCCCGTAGAATTCGGTTGTCATCCTGTCGAAGCTGGTCATTGGGAGGTGCGTGGCCAGACACTGACAATGGTAGCGGTCTGGCTCCCCGAAGAGGCAGTCGTGGGCTTGTGATGTCGTCGATCACGCTCTGCGACTGACAGGGCAGTCGTCCTGCGATGTCGTTTCGGATGGCAAGAGCGACTCCAGCGTCTCGTCTCTCTGCCTTTGAGTGGCTGCTCCAGAAGGAGATATAGCTGGCATCCACCTCCTCCAGTTGGCCTTGTTCGGAGAAGCAAGTTTTGCTGAGAGGAGCAATGTACACCTTTCAGCGAGCCAGTTCTCAAACGACTAATGTTGTCCTCCGTTCCGGCCGGTTGGTCCTGGGATTGGAAGAGGGACATTCACCGATCGTTTTTACGAACTCACTCGCCCCTTTTGCCTTCTGCGCTTTCTCTCGAGTCCCACCAGCAGCCGCACAGCGGTGCATGATATGGGCACAATGTTATTATCGAAAAGGACAAGGGAGACCGGAATGGTCTTTTCTGGCTTATTAGCCGTCGTCAGCTAGTCATACCCAACCCCGAAGTGTGGAACCCTTGGGGCTCGATCCCGCGACCTGTCAGTTAGAAGACCTGGAATTGTCCAAAATAGAGAGAATATTCCAGACTGCCCAAACGAACGAAATCAATTTAATGGCCTATGAGGCAGAACGGAAGAATGGGGACGGGGGTTGTTGTTGTTTGTTTGTTTTGTCGTTTGTTTAAATCGTTTCCATCGTGAGTTGTACGTTTGCGAGCCACGGTCTGCGTGCGGAAGACGCAATCCACCCATTCAAGAATGAAGCTTTCGCCTTGTGCCCCCTATTCATATTCAAAAATAGTAATAGAGTCATTTGTTGCAATAGTACTTCTCGAAATACAAAACCGCCGCCACTGACATAATCGTGGTTGTATGTACAGCAGTTCCTCAGAAGATGAGCATCCAGTCTGCATTCAAAGGATTCAACAGTTCCGGAAAGAACGACCTCGTCAAGGAGTATGCTCCACGCTTCGATGACTATCTGCAAGTAGGCGTTTCATCGGGCGCCTGTGTTGACCAACTTCCTCTGCAGTTTAGAGGGATGATCACGCAGACGGTTCCTCCCAGCCAATTCGAAGATGTTCCCAAAGTCTAGGGCACACTCACGGCCCCTGACAATCTGGCAGGTTTGAATGAGGGCGCCGCGCAGTTGACTGTAGTTGAGAGGATGCAGATTTATTTCAGCCAGTCTGGTTTCGTAAGGCAGATGACCATGATTCTTGACCATCTTCACAACCCCCACTTTTACTTTTTCCAGCCGTTGATAACCCTTCTCCAACCACGGACGCCAGGCCTGGACGGCATACTCTAAGCTAGACTGAACAATCACCCCGCAGGTTTTTCCGAGCAGCACCTTATCGATCTGCACAAATCCTCGCCCCAGCGCAAATAACACCCGTACCGCGCGTTTCGCTGACCCTAGATACTGTGACGATGGTTTCAGAGAGGGGATCATTATGACGTCGCGGTCTTTGTCTTCCAGAACATATCAGAGGGGTTGCCCTCAAGGACGTATTAAAAGGAATCATCTTCCTTACCGATCTTGTTGGTGCGGAGTCTCAGGACCACACATCTGTCCACATTAAAATTGAGGATCAAACGAGCTGACCAACTGCTCAGCCGGTTGAGACTGTCTTGAAGCGCGTACCTGACTGCGTCAGATCTGATGGCTCTCCACAGCTTACCATTGTCAACAACCATAATGACGTTGAATCCCGGGTCGTTGACACAGCCGTTGATGTAAACTAGGAAGATTGATGGCCCTAAGACTGAGCCATGGGTGACACCACCTAGAACGGGGGTAGGAGTTGGCCTCGAGGCCTCAACGCACACGGTTTGCGATCTCCCTGAAAGAAAATCTGCGCTCCATGTCGGCAGATTTCCTCTCAATTCAATTTCAGATAGTTTCAAGATAAGGCGTTTGTGTGGAAGGCTGTCGAACGCCCTCTTGAAATCCACGTATGTGACATCGACCTTATCATCCTCGTCCAGTGCGTGAGTCCGCGGCTCGGTCGAGGATAATAAACTGGAAAGGCACCAGCGGTTCTCTCTGAAGCTATGCTGGAGTACTCAGGGTAAGCGGTTTTCCTCCAGGAACTTCATTCTCGACTCCTTAGTATGGTTTTCATTGTTTTACCGCAACTTCACGTTAAACTGACGGGATGATAATTATTAGAGCTAGTTAAAGCCCCACTCTTGTATATCGGGTAGATGTTTGCAGTCTTCCATTTCAATGGCAGCTTTCCTAATTCGAATGACGAATTTAAGATAATACGTTAGCGCTTTGGAGGGTTCGTCCGCCAAGCCTTTCAAGAATTAGGCCAGCGTGTTGTCCCGACCCAACGACTTTGCTTGTTTGAGATTCTGTAGCTCCCTTTCCACGACAGATATTGGGTAGAGTATGGATTCAAGCAGGGGACCGAGGGTCAAAACAGCACTGCTGACATTGTGATTCTGAAACTCCGTTTCCCTGGTGAGTACCGACGCAAAGAACCGTCCCAAGTCTTCGCCTTTCTCGCCGTTTTCAAAGAATTCTACACCATTACCATACTTCAGTATTCCCACCGGATCGTTGTATTTCAGTCACTCTTACCGAGAGCTGCACTGGAATCCACTTTGTCAATTTTGAAGAAGTTTTTCGTAAAAACTAGGTCATTTTCGGCACCCTTTCTAGCCTCTTCCCCCGTGAAGTAGCGCTGTCCCTAAGTATGGCTGCTCAGACATCTCAAGCGGCTGCCGGACTCTGCTGTGGGTGACAACTTGGTTTAGTTGGAGAGCTACCCAAGAAGGGCGAGGAGGAGGAGGAGGAGAAGTAGGAGAGAGAGGAGGCGGCGGATGAGGATAAGGAGGAGGAGGAGGAGGAGGGGGTGGGAAGAAGAGGAAGAAGAAGAAGAATAAGAAAAAGAAGAAGAAGAAGAAGAAGAAGAAGAAGAAGAAGAAGAAGAAGAAGAAGAAGAAGAAGAAGAAGAAGAAGAAGAAGGGGGACGAGGGGGAGAAGGAGGACGAGGGGGAGGGAAGGGAAGGGGGGAAATGGCACGAATAGGAAAAGAATTACCGCGTTTAGGGACACAGAACCGGATACCATCATCTGGTCCAGCCCGTCGGTCAAAGAGGTTATCGCCGTATGGCCGCTGAACAGACCCTAACCCTGAGGAGCCACACATGAGAGCTGAATTCCAGTTAAGGACTGCGACGAGCAGTTACCACCTGAGTGGTACAACCTACCACCCACGCACGTGAGCCCCTAACTGGATACCAAACGGCGCAGGCTCCGGATTATCGATTAATCAGCAGAGTAACGGTAAAAACAGGGGCTTTCTGCATCAAGTACTCCTAGCCAGGCGAACAGGGGACGGACCCTCCTCTACAATCGGCGGCAGGCCTGACAACAAAAACTTTCATCGTGATCATGAGGGATGGAGCCGTCAAAATATTGCCAACAACAAAGTCGTCCACTTCTTCAAATGTTCCGAACATTCATCACTAAATTCTACCTTTGAAGGTTAGGCTTAAATATAACCGCCCTCCTCTGAAATCAACCCCAAACGGCACTGTATCCGCTGGAGCACGGCAATCCCCAAAACCCCTCTAACATCATTAGAACCAACTCCCCTCTTCCCCCTCCCCTCCCCAACACCGCCAAAATGTCATCACGTATTGGCGCGCACATCCCTACACTATGCATTTCCTTCTAAACCCTGAAGGCGAGGTTTGATTCTACAGCCCCACTTGATTGATACCACATGGTTAGCTTACTAGAACAATTTTAGTTAACATACCTAACTTAGTCATTCGCTGGACTAGGAAGGGAAAAGAGCGCAAGCAGAGCTCGAAGCATGGGCGGGGAAGCCAGTGAAGGTTATGCGTACATATTTCCTCCCCCCCTCGCCTGACTCTGCCACTCGCTGGATTAAGAGGATATGGGGTGTGCAATCACAACTGGAAGGCCACTGAGGGTACCGCGTGATAATTCTCAGTGCATGGCCACTGTATTGGAACCGATGGAGTTCCACACCGTCGGAACAATTCTATTAGCAAGGCTACTTGGCCACTCGCTGGATTAGGATAATGAAGTGATCGCAAGTAGGGCTCGAACCACGCGGAGGGAAGCGCGTGAGAGCTGATAACTGAGGTAACCGAGGCTGACGTATAAGCGCTCCTCCCCAGTGGCTCAGTCACTCGCTGGAGTAAAATGGTAAGGAAGATGCAAACAAAGGATATTTGTAAATTCGGCGCATTCGCATCTACAAAATTTTTTTAGAGTGGTAACCATGTGATATCACTCAAGTAGGGCTGCAGGACCAAACCTCGTCGTCCTGAATATGTTAAGTATTGAACCTTGCCCGTATAAGCAACCGTTATTATGATTAACAATTTTGCCATATCACTATAAGTAAATTTGCATTATGTTTCGGTTTTTCTGCGACTTTATGGGGAAGACTCGGTACAGTTACAGGACAATCTGAATCACTTGCAACAATGGTGGGATGAGTGGTGTCTTAGCCTCAATCGTAACAAATGCCAACTTGTCCCATTACGATCGAGCAACAGGAGGCCGTTGAGATTTGAATCTCACTACTTTATAGGAGGTTACCAACTCGAATCGGTCAACGAGTTAAGAGACCTCGATGCTTGGATGACGTCAACTCTCAAACCATCGTCTCACTGCGCCAAGGTATCAAAGAAATCTATGGGCATGCTGGGCACGATTAGAAGATCCTTCCTCAATTTTGACGAAGAACTTGTCGGCCGAGTATTTGGAGCATTCGTTCGACCAATGTTGGAATACTGTGTTCAGGCATGGTTTCCCTGGACGAAACAAGATTACACCCTACCGGAGAACGTACAACGAAGAGCGACCAAGCTAGTTGGCGGATTAAGTAGATTGCCTTATGAGAGACGCCTGGGTAGGCTAAAAATATTTCCTCTCTCTTATAGACAATACAGAGGGTATATGACCATGGCCTTCAGCATCGTCAGAGGGCTAGACTGTGCTCCTCAGTTTGACGATTTCTTCGAACTAGCGCGGACGACCAATCTTCGAGGGCACCGATACAAATTGAAGCGAAAATATGCCAAACTCGAACTGCGGGCCAAATTTTTCTCCCACCGGCTGGTTGAAGGATGGAACAAATAGCCGAACTCCGTTGTCTTAGCGGAAAACGCTGAGACCTTCAAAAGAAGACTAGATAAACTTATGCTTGATGGTCAAATATTCACACGATATCAATGGCTGGCATAACTGCTATGTAACTATCTGCATGTTTTTTTCATACGTCTATCTGTAAATAGGGTTTTCCAAGGCTCTGTCTATATCCCTCATCTATACTGAATTATACTGAATTAAAGTAAACATGCATTTAAATGCATCGTGTTCGGAGTAAATAGTCAAGTGCAGACTGAACCATTCTACCTAGAGGGCATTAATGTGATGAACGTACCGTCGAAAGAATCACGTGCTAGGTCGATAGCCAAATGCAGACGTCGACCCAACGGAAGTACGTAACCAGTATATAATTGTGCAGTACAGTGAGACTTATTCAATGTCAGTCTTCCCTTTTACCCCTCCTTAAAAAGTCCACAGTTACATGGTATCATGCAAATTTTTGCATCCCCACTCAAAACTGCAATGCTTATGACGCTATGGTCACGGGCCACTAACGCCTTAGTTGGCACACGTGAAATATCAGGCTCTTGCCTCCTTCCCCCCGCGCCTTGTGCACAGGCTTGCCTTGGTGTCTTGGCGCATTTTTTTGAGGGAAGGGGGTGCTAAGTAGCCGTAGTCCAACGCCTCGTTGCTGGCAGCCAGATGCTGCACAGTATCGGAGGCCTAGTCACAGAGGCCAGGTCGTTAAACCCGGAACGTTCGCGCTCGCAGACAGTTCGCCAAACACCTGGCCGATTGGTTGCTTTGGCAGGGTACTTCTGTCGCTCGTCGGTCACGCCATGTGCGTCGGAATTGCGCGCGCGCGCCAACTTGTTTGACAGCGCTGCGTCCCCGTGGTGGTTCGCATGCTGTCCTCTCTTCCTACTTTCATTCTGGCGAACACGCCCTGTCTTCTTTGGTGGGCGCTTGTCGGCATCACATGATTGCCAACCGATGCAGCCACGGCACGCCGACTGTCCAATCTAATGCGCCTGCTCAGTTTAGATCTGAGAAATCCAAGTTCTCACCTACTTCGTTGACCACCACCACCACCACCACCACCACCACCACCACCACCACCACCACCACTACCACGGCGATATCTTTCATGGCAAAACAGCATGCATTCGCAGCCAGGTGGAAGCATGCCTACCCTGAAATGGGAAAAAAATATCAGACAGACTGATTATGGCACGTGCGGGTCTTGTCGTCAGCGTTGCCTAATACGAGAAAGTAATTCTCCTATGAACTCGCCCCCCCCCCCCCCGGGGGCACTGGTGATATGCTGCAACTGTGGAGGTATCCTCACAAATTTTCCCTATGGAGGGTCGTCGCTCAAAAAAAATAACACAGATATAGTTCAATCCGTAATTTATGGTAATACTGAGTCGATACAAAATGTCCATGCCCGCCACCCACGCAAGACCCTGCTTCTCTCCTGAAGTAAGCGTGCAATCCACGTTAGCATTGCTGTTTTTGGCGCGCTAAACGTCCTTTGTTTGTCAATGCTTGCACACCTCACTTACATGAGAAGCATGCTGTGAGCTGGTGCATGCAGTGGGAAGCGGGTCTTGTGGAAAACAGGTGGACGGGTTGTCCTAGCCCTGGCCTAGTCCAATCCCATCAAACGGTGGCTGACAGACTCGGACAGTTGACTAATGCATTGGAACCGATCATCATCATCATCATCATCATCATCATCATCATCATCATCATCATCATCATCATCATCATCATCATCATCATCATCATCATCATCATCATCATCATCATCATCATCATCATCATCATCATCATCATCATCATCATCATCATCATCATCATCATCATCGGCAAATCAGCGTCTTCCCCCTGTAGCAAATCTGAAGCGAGTAAATCCATCACGACCCGCTGATAATCGTGACTTGAGGGATCGTGGACTGAGAAGGTAATTCGGTTCCCATGAGAGTATTTTTGAGCGACTGGAGGGCTGAGAGTCAAGCTGCAATGACTCCTTCTTAATATGATGTTTATCTCACTCTCAAGCACATGAGCTCAGAGGTGTCCTTACAGATGCTCGGTATATGCTGTGGGGATCAGGTTGTCTGTGGGGCACACGCAGATGGGTCATCTAACTTTGTTTGTCGCTCCACACGCGCCAACCGTCAGTCGTCTTAGCATTGTTTTGTCGTAGGAACAAAGCGGGTGAGGGAAATGATCGAAGATGCGATAGACGCTTCGAAAGCCTGCCCCTTTGAACCATTTTACGGACAAGTCAACGGTGCCGCGTCTATTCCGTGAGGCACACGTTGAGTGTCACCTCATGCGACGTTTGAACTGTCACAGATTCAGGAAACGGTGCAAACCCATGGTAGAGGGTTAGTTCTACTTCCGTAAATGTTCAAGGATAAACCATAAATCTTGATAGTGGATAGGGGCTGTTATCACTGCCTCACGTCATGTAACGCGGTCTCTCCAGATATTTACTGTCTCTACCTGGTCCTACCGAAAATCTTCTAGGCTCCTTGGTTTACGAGATTCAAAAACTTCAGCATCAGTGTCTTCCAGTGGACAGAAGTGACCGTTCGCCAAAGCTGGCAATAACTGTCGACTGTCAGATTCGCTGTCACCATTGTCTCCGCACAAACTCGCACCGTGGAGGAATGATCCGCTATTCCAAGTCGCCATACACTAAAACCAAGTTCTGAATGTGATATCGCGGACACACGGGTAGCGGTGCGATCAATAACAAGACATGTCGACAGCTGATCCTCCGATGACAAGTCCGAAAAGTGGCACATTGATGTACTCTCTGCCTCTCACACGTTGCAATTTCATTTCCAGTTCGCGTGACCGTGTTTTTAACCAAGAATACAGGAGGCTGCATGTTATGAGAAATTCCCCTCCCTCCTCCCAAGAGCGTTAATTTCTTAATGTGTCCTAATTGTCCCGAAGAGTGAACT